TTAGCCCATATTACAAAAACAGCCGGACGAATCAAAGCGTCATTCAAGCACGCAGCAATATGTCAGTGTTTTAGAATACACAAAACTGGCGTCCAATCCAGATGTTTGAGCTAAAGATAGGTTCTCTTTGCAAACAATTGAGGGGGAGAGAAGAAAAAAAAAAGTGTTGGTGGGGGGGGGGGGAAAAAAGGTTAAATTATAATTCCTTGCCAGAGCCTGGCCTTTTGACCATCTTTCCCAACCCCTCCCCCCCCCCCCCCCCCCAATTATAATTGCTTGCCAGAGCCTGGCATTTTGACCATCTTTACCATCCCCTCCCCCCCCCTCCCCCCACGCATCCTCTTCTCTAGTTCCTTACGTGACTGTTTCAAGTGATTGGTAAGTTTTTCTGTGTTTGTTCTGTAGTTGTTCTATGTTCTACTATGCATGTTCTAACTGAGCCATTAATAGAAACCAGGGCAAGAGGAACAGATGAAGTGACGACATTGTCCTTAACAAATAATTAATTTAATTTGTGTATTTAAAAAAAAAAAAAATAATGGGAAGGCAGATGTGGATGTTCCTATGGATCTGGACGTGTTGTATGTTGTATGTTGCGTGTTTATGCGTTTGTGCATTTGTTTGTGGGCGGGAGGGGGGGCGCAATGGCTTCGGGTGGGTGAAATAACAGTGAGAGAATCCTTTTTAGTTACACAATGTCAAGGCGCTTGATGACGACAGCGAAAAGAGAAGCGACATTTTTTTTGTTGTTGTAAATTCAATGAATCGACCAACTGGTAGACAAAATATCATGTCTTGAAAAGTTAGTTTAAAAGAAGTATTAAAGAATGCCATCATAGGATGACTAAGTTGTGCACCGTGAGCTCGTTAGGTGGTGCACCGTGAGAAGACTTTTCGGTGCACAATGAGTATGGGTTGTGCACCATGAGATGTGAACGAATACATTCAAAAGAAAAGATACACAAAAAAAAGTTCATGGCGTTTTAAATATTTGAAAGATAAAAGTAGTCCATCATGTTTTAAATATTTGAAAGATCTGAAGAAGGGACTCCCTTGAAGAACTGGTCAGAGAAATCAAATTACTGAACACTCAGATAGTGGGAGGCAGAGAGAGGAGGGGGAGAGAGAGGGAGAGAGAGAGGGAGAGAGAGATAGAGGAGGAAGAGAGAGCGAGTAAGAGAGAAATAGAGAGAATGAAAAAGAGAGATAAAGAGAGAGTGTGTGAGGGAGAGAGAGTGAAAGGGAGGAGGGAGAGGAGAGAGAAAGAAAGAGAGGTGGGGAGAGAAAGAGAGACCGAAAGGAAAGAGAGAGAGAGAGAAAAAGAGAGAGAGAGGGGGGGGCAGATGTCAAGAGAAAATATTGCTGCGGAAAGAAGGATGCAGAGGGTATTTTTTTTTTTAATGGGGTAGTGGGGTAGTGGGGTAGTAGGGTAGTGGGGTAGTGGGGTGGGGGGGGGGAGGGGGGGGGGGGGGTAGGGGGGTGGGGGGGTGGGGGGGTAGGGGGG